GTGGATTGTGACTGCTTTTACTAATCTTCTGGAAATCTCTTCATGTAAATTCACACTTCATCTATTCCACTACACACATTAAAATCAATTTTCAGAAATAATAATTTTTTTAAGCACAGTATTTTCAAATTCAAAATTCTCTCCATATCTCATCAGCTGACCTAGCTTGGGTCAGTCAAATGATGGTGTGGCATCTCCAACAGTGTCAAAGGATGCTGTGTGTCCTCACATGATTTCTGGGCACTGGCCTGTATCACCTGTGCACTAGTGCTGTCCATATTACTCTTTCATCATTTAGAAACCATTGTACTTGTAGATTCTAACCAGGTGTGCTGCCCTTAAAATGTCAAAATAGTGGTATCAATTTAGGAAATTTGTATAAGCGAATATTCTTATCTTGAATGTTCATATAGCAAGAGATACCTGTATTGGTATTATTTTAATTTATTCCTCACATTTACTGTGATATATTGTTGAAAGAAAACTATGGCTGCAGGAGGAAAATATTCACAAAAGTTTTTTCTCCAAAATATGCCCGTGCATCTTAAATACCATAAAATAAGGTAATACAGTACCAGTAATTGGCAAAAGGAAATTGCTTATGAATACTGTACCAGCATATAGCTTGAACAAAATCCACAGCTATACAGTTTATGAGAAACTTAAGTCACCAAAACTCCTTCATATGTGGAAGTTTGGAGCTTGATGAATTGTACTGTACAGTAGAATGAAATCTGGTTACTGAAGCATAGGGAGATCATCAGGATCACTGTTGGAAGAGGGTGATGCAATGGTGGTTGGTGGAGAGGTGGGTGGTGGAGAGGCACGTGGCGGAGAGGTGGGTGGTGGAGAGGCGGGTGGCGGGGAGGTGGGTGGTGGAGCATCGGCAGCAGCTGGCCGAGTAGGTGAGAGAGACTGAGCAGCTGGTTCTTTCTTAAAAACATTGTGATTAATAGTTGTTTCCTCTTGGTTTGAGGTCTCTAAACATTTCACTCCACTAGCATCACTTGCACTGACACTAGGCAGTCTTTTAGGGTCCATTTCACACAGAAACACTAAAGTTTTTAGTACAACACAAGAGATGCTGTGTCGCAGGCAATGGCTGAGTGCAAACAAAGGTAGGAGACGCTGTGGGTGCATAGGGGTGACTCATTGCGCTGCGGGCAGGCTTGTAAGCTTGCCACTATCTGCTTACAGCGAAGTCGAAATTGTGAATCACAAACCTGCAGATAGCAAGGGTTTACTGTGTTCAGATAATTCATTTTATACTCAGTAAGCTGATTCCTTCCTAGACAAGAATGGTTGGTGTTTTTGTAAATGAAAATATATTATTGTGAAAGATTTTAGAACTAAATAATCTTTTCTCTTTCAGGTTGTATGTGGTCAATTTGTGGCATCCATGATCAAGGCTGGGGTGAAAGGCCTATTTTTGGCAAGATACGTTTCATGAATTATGATGGCTGCAAACGAAAATTCAAGATTAACGAATATATTGCACGTTATGGAGGAAAGAAACATAAGTATCTTCCTCCCACTTAGAGTATGCAGTAATGATTAATCATTGGAAGTTATAAATTATATTAAATCACTACCAGTATACAATAATTGCACTTTAAACACTGTTGTACTGTACTGTCTGTTATTCAGGAACATTGGAACTATGATTTGATTGCTAAATTTGTACATTTTCTAATAGTCTCAGGTTTAATCATTCAATTAAAACGTTAATAAATTATATATTTTAGATAATGATAATGAATGCAGGTGGAACTTCTGAAAAACAACAAAGATAACAGAGTGATAGTCAATGTGTACTGGTGTGGTTTACATATGGACAGTAGTACAGTATACCGTAAATATGATTACTTTTGTTAAAAGTTGTAGTTATTTACTTGGATATTTACATAGTTTAAGCATATAATCTAATTTTAACAAAATGCAGCTACGGTAGTAAAAAATTTTTAGTTAATTAAATTGCAGGTTATTTCCTCACTGTAAATAATTATAATAGCTACCTTTATGAATAAATTTGCTTTTTTTTCTAGCAATGTACTGGATTTATTTTATTTGTCAGGGAAACTAAAGCCAAGATCTTTAATGTAAGTCTTGCTTTCTTGCCCTGTTTCTAGTAGGGAATTTTCTTTAATAAAAAGTCCTGTTTTCCATGTTGAAAAGTCGTTTTCTTTAATAACAATTCCAATGAAAATTTTTGTTAAAATTTTGGAAATATTAAATTTTTTAGTTTTTTAAAATTTGTTGTAATTGTTTTTTTAATTTATGAAAATTTTTAACATTTTATTTTTTTTAGTTGAAAATTTAAAAATATTTGAAATTTTTTGAAAAATTTTGATTTTTTTGAATTCGTGAAATTTTCTTGAAAATTTATCATTAAAAAAAAATTATTTGAAAATTAATGAAATTTTTGTTGGAGAATTTTAGAAAATTTTGGGAATTTTTTTTTAGAAAATTTTGAAAAAATAAAATAAAAAATTGAAGAAATTTTTATTACTAGAAAAATTCGAGATTTGTTGATTTTTTTTAATGTGAT